TTAGTTGAAGCTTTTGCGCCACGATGAGACAAAGAATGAAAGTTATTATATATCAACTTTCGCATACTTTTGGGAACGAAAGGTCGCGGAATTGCCTTGGTCGTGTCACAGTAGATTAGAATACCATCGACAGGTGATGGGAACTGTTTTAAATTAAGACTTGAATTGTTTGTTTTAAGCAGGTTTTGTAATTCTAGATCCTGCTCTTGTTCGTTTTTCAACGTCTCGAAGTTTACTGTGGACTGTTGTAGCACGTTCATTTCTAGCCTAGATAAAGCGTCTGCCGCCTGATTGTCCTGACCTTTGACATGTCGGATATCGCTTGTGAACTGTGATATATAGTCAAGGTGTAGGACTTCTCGAGGTGAGTATTTATCAGCTCTCGCTTTTAGTGCATTCGTTAGTGGCTTGTGATCCGTAAAGACTATAAATTCCCTACCTTCTAACATGTGTCGGAAGTGTTTAATGGTTAGGTAGATTGCAAGAAGTTCTCGTCCGAAGGTAGAATACCTTGTTTCGGCTGGAGCGAGTCTTTTCGAGAAGAAAGCAATTGGTTTCCAGGCGTTTTTAACCAGTTGGTTAAGGGTACCGCCTACTGCTTTATCTGAAGCATCCACCATCAAAGCAAGTGGGGAAAGAGAATTCGGATATATCAACGTAGTTGCTTGAGCCAGTTTATCTTTAAGCTGTTTAATAGCTTCGATGGCGTCAGAAGACAGTTTGAATTCTTTTGGTTTTCCTTTAAGTGAATCTGTCAAAGGTTGCATTAATTGTGCACAACCTGGTATGAATCTGCGATAAAAGTTAATTAGGCCTAGAAAACTTCTCAGTTGTGTTAGAGAACTAGGTACGGGGTATTGTTTGATAGTATCCACTTCTTTTTTGATAGGTTTAATCCCTTCTGGGCTTATTGTGTGACCGAGAAATTCTAAAGTTTGAACACCGAAAACACACTTACTTTGATGTATGTTTATTCCATGTTCATCCAGTCTTTTCAACACTGCTTGTACATGCTGTTCGTGTGATTGCAAATCGGGGCTGGCAATTAACAAGTCGTCTATATACCCCTGCGCAAATGACATATCTCGAAGTAGGTTATCTATGAATCTTTGAAATGTCTGTGCCGCATTTCTCAGGCCGAATGGCATGCGTACAAACTCGAATAAGCCAAAGGGTGTAGTAATAGCTGTCTTGGGAATATCTTCATCAGCCACTGGGATATTGTGACATGCCCTGACTAAATCAATTTTAGTGAATATTTTCATACCCTGTAAACCGTTGGTGAAATCTTGGATATGAGGTATTGGGTACCTATCTGGTACGGTTTGACGGTTTAGGGCTCTGTAATCCCCGTACGGTCGCCAGTCACCTTCATTCTTCTTTGGGACCATATGCAAAGGGGATGCCCATTGACTATCAGAGGGACGGATAATACCCAATTGTAGCATATAATCAAACTCGGCCCTAGCGATTTTGAGCTTATCTGGTGCTAGTCTCCTGGGTTTTGCAAACACCGGTGCACCTTCGGTTTTGATAGTGTGACTCACTTTTAGTTTGTCTTTGGAAGGCTGTGGGTTTGGTTTAGTTAAGTTTGAAAATTCCGCGAGTATATCTTGGAATTTCGCTGTTGTTACTGGAGGAGTTTGAATCAAGTTAAGAGAGCTGATGTGACTTTCTTTGCCTTTTGTGTAATACGAAGTTTCTTTTAGTGTTAATCGCCGTTTCTTGGTGTCAACTAGAAATTCGTATCTCTCTAGAAAGTCCATCTCCAGTATTGCCAGATCTAAGTCGGCTACCGTGAAAACCCAAAGGAATTGCCTCCTGAACCCCAAATCTAGGGTTAAAGTTTTCTGCCCAAATGTCGCGATTTTAGTTTTATTTGCAGCTTGAAGTGTAATTGATGATGTTTCTCGACTAATCTCAGTTTTATTTTGAGGGATGATGCTAAGAGCAGCGCCAGTATCCACCAAGAAATTCAAGCCCGAGTTTCTGTCTCTAACATAAAACAAGCGACTGTTTAGGCGCCCCTCCTCAGTCGTCGCGACCTGGGGAGGGGTTACTCGTTTCCCGCTGTCTTGCATGCACTTGGTTGAGTTGACACCAAACTTCCAGTGGAACCAACAAAACTGCCCAGATTGTCTGGACATTTGTGACCTGTTTTGTGACTTGGATCGTGGTCGTTGTGGTGACCTGCTCCTGTTTCTATGACCCATTTGCATTCTGGTGACAGCCTCAGTGAGACTCTTAACACTCGCAATGAGTCCTTCTATGACAGGGTCTTTTGCTGATTCTACTTTTTGTGTGTGATTTATTGTGCCTGATCCAGTTGGAGGACCTCTTTCCATTATTCTGTCGGCTATACGCGCTAAATGAGATAATGAGGTTTCAGGATCCTGTGCATCCAAACAGTGTTGGACGTAGCATGGGAGAGCTTGTATCCATCCTTGTTTTAGGACTGCTTCACCCACTGTGTTATCACCCACTAAGACTTGGAGGTGACGTAAAAACTGTGACGGCGACCGATCACCTAGTGTTTCACCTTGAAAAAGTCTTTGGATTCTTTGACTATCTGATAATGATAAACGGTTCATTATCTCTCGTCTTAAGATAGTGTATGGTTGTGGTGATGGTGGACTCAAAATCAAGTCACGGACATCTTTGGCGACTGAAGGAGGAAGGATAGAACACAAGTCTCTATAGCGAATCCCTTCAGATTTGATATTGTGTCTCGTGAAATAATGCTCTAGTTGAGCAAACCACAACTCAGGATCACTACGATCAAATTCTGGAAGTCGGGATTTCGTAGTCATAACAGTGTCTATCTCCACTGGTGACAAATCCTCCAGATTATGGGTTTCTATTGAGTCTGACATGAGGTATGTGACAAATATAACAATAAAGTTAGCACAAAAAGTGGTTACTATAACACGAATAACTTAAGATAATACGGAATAAACTAGTTATATACTCAAATTAGTTTACGGATAATCAGGTCTACTTTTACGATTAAGTAAAAAAAAATGTTAATAACAGAAATGAGGTTAAATTTGTGCTCAAAAAGGGCTCACCAATTTCGTGCCTTAAAGTAACCCTCGTGCTATTGATAGAAGAAACCAGAGAAGTAGTGAATAGGTCTTTATTTCGATCTCAGCGCGGTAACAGTGGAGCGTGGGATTACCTGTTCAGACAAACAAAGGCTCTCAACATTCAATATAAGATAATAGGGAATATAACGCTTATACAAAACAAGGAAGTGAATGAATGCTTGAACAGTACTGTTTTGGCATATGCTTGGTTGTTTGGGGTCAACTCTTAACCAACCAACCTAAGCTGTTACAGGTGTTCAGTTAACATATAAATGAGTGTATTTTCGACTGCGGTTGTCCTATTTCGGGGATTGATGACTTCATTTGTGCCAGTCTTATCTCTTACCTTTCACCTCATGTCGTCAGGATCGTAGTTGTTTCTTATTTCAAGAATAAGTTTCAATTAATGCGGATACTACACTTGGACTCAGTCTATTCATCCTCTCATCATACTGAAGCCGTGTGGCTACAAGAACCCGAAAACTTACTTTTCCTCAGGCAACGGCTGTCAGTTTGTGACCAGTGCTTGAATCTAGGTAGAATGAACACTAAAAGTTGAAAGAGGTCTTAGCATCCATATGGATAAAGGTTTCTCATATCGACCAGAAGGTTGGAAAAATTTCAGAAACTATTGCACACCAATATGAAACGGTTTTTGAGTCTTAACCACCAATGGCTCGTCAAGCTATGTAACCATACTGAGACTCAGAAACATCATCATTTCTAACAGCACTCCATACCTCAGTATCACCAGCAAATAACGTAACTGATGTCGATGGAAGGCTTACGTCGTCTCTACACAGATGGAATAAAAATAATTCCGTAAATCTATCATGTGGCACTTCGATAAGGAAAGTTTGTAGAATTATGGTCTACTATTATATTAGTACTGCTCTAATAATAGACCTAATCCTAAATTTTGTATATTTATCATGATATAACTGCCTAATCTATAAGATCTTACGTGGAAGTCACACCATCGACTACACCAACTCACTGTATCGTATCAGTTATCAATACATGATGTAGAACAAGGTTAGGCTAGAGAAGGAACAATACACTCTTTGTTGAAGCCCGAATAGAAAATCACTTATCCACATAACTAAGTTACATTTAGTCCCGATACCTCTTATTTTAGATAGCAGTCTGCTGTGTGAGAATTTGCCAGAAGTCTACTCAAATAGATAAAGGTTACATCTGTAGGCAGTCTCTACTCTTTAGGAGCACATCTGACCTATGGACCTATTAATTCGTTCGTGGGATGATAACAAATTGTTCTGAAACTACATTGCTTTTCGGAGAGGAACAAATTTTTGTCCAGGTACATGAAGTACTGCCTGTCGAAAGTAACTAACCGAATTTCACGATTGATCCTAAACCGAGTTTAACAAACCAATTATCAAGTTCATTAATGATTGCCGTTTCCAGATTATGGGTTGGAGGACTTATCTTTACCGGAGGGAAAAGCATCTCTATGGTGCACAAAAGTTGTTATCAGGACACTTTGGTTTCCCCTTAGCTATGTTTATTGCTAATGTGGCATCACTGTCTCCATATAATGCTAGTATACTAGCTTCTCTTTGTCCTTTGATCTGTGTGTGAATAGATAGTATAGATCAGATTCATAAACTCATGAACAACCAAGCAAACTGCACAGTTGAAGTCTCTTATGACTCATCTGATCTATGATGGAATCTATTTTAGTCTGACTATTAGTCTGTGAAAGACATGAATGTCACATACATTTTAGGCGCAGTACCACTTGAGTTTGGTTATACTCCGAAAATTGTACATTAGTTTTAAATAGTTTCAAACAAGTTCTCAGGTATAACTAAATCATTTTCTTCCATTTATTTTATTCTAACTAGCTGAAAAGACATTGAGAATTAGACGCTTTAAATGCACTAATAGTCGATGAACTTAAGTGTTGGTTACTTTTGTAACTTTAGTGGCAACTGGGGGGGAATGGAGGATAACTCTTCTCAGTGTCTTCTGAATTGGTGCATTGAACAAACCAAAACGTACCCATATATTAATATCACTGATTTCACATCATCATGGAAAGATGGTCTGGCGTTTTGTGCCTTAATTCACAAACATTTCCCTGATCTAATGTAGGTTGAACAGGACAGTAAAATTGCATCTCACTTTTTAAAGAGATTTTTCGCACTTGAAGTCTGAAGATGCTGTAACAAACCTTAAGTTGGTTGGTTATTATATATCCTTTATGTATGATGATATATTTTAGGCGTTTTTCCTTGCAGAAACAAAATTGAATATACCGGTGCCTACAAGACCACAAGTCATAGTATTAGAAGATGTAGATGAAAAGATAATATTTGAATACGTTTCTAAGTTGTATGGGGCATTAACAAGAAATGCAGGTAATACATGACTATCTGTTTCTAAATATCCAGGTCAATTAGGTTCAGATAAGCTTTCAGATAAAAGCTTATCATATTTGGTATGCCCTTGCAAATCTCATATTATACGTTTTTAGTGTGAACAGGAGGGGGGACTTCTTATATGTGACCTTTGTGGGGAAACTATATTTCGTGTCGAGCAGCTGACTGTCTTCAGTAGGAACTACCATCGTAGTTGTTTTCGTGACAACCAGTTAACTTATCTCAAAGAGCGGAATAAAACACTAAAGGGTTCCAACTGTTCTGATGGTTCACCGCTGACTAAATTTTTAGGTAAACGAGATCTATTTGTCTTCTCTTCATCTTCACTTCTAGTAGCGGATCCCTTCCCAATAAGACTCAGTCCACAAAAAGAATTGGACACTGTTAGCAATGGAAAAAGTCAACCAACATGCAAACCTCCTTCTAGACCGCCACTTTTTGATGTTTTAAGTAATAATGCGTCTCCTGAACTGAATAGTGTTTTGAAGATAAAAGCTAAAATATCAGCTGACATAGAACAGCGTAAAAATAACTCTAATTCCAAGCATCATAACATCGTTTCTTATCCTGCTGCTTTAAATCCGTTCGAAGATGACTCTTTGTGTGATCCCAGCTCTCAGCATGAATGTACCTATAAGCCTTACAATCCATTTGATGACGATTTATCAGCCTTAGACTCGGAAGAGATTAATAATATTTCAGATTCTGACCACTCAAACGTATTAAGTATATCAAACCCTCCATCTCTGGTATCCACGCCTAGTAACCATATAAACAAGTATATGGAACAGAGTAACCAAAAATTTTCCATGGAAACAGTCGCAGATGAATCAGTCAATCTTCGGACTGCTCACTCTTCTATATATGATTTATCGAGTTTACTCGCTTATGGTAGTCTGAATAAAGCACAGTCCTCTTCACTAAGCAGTGATGCAAAACAGTCCTCAAAATCTCCTCTTAATGGATCAAATGCAAAGATAAGTAGGTCAGTTAACACCAAAGGGCCTGCCCCACCTATTCCTGTTTTATGCCGACGTGATGTCAGACGCGATCAGCAAAGCGACTTCATTCCATACACTGAATTACACAGACAACTATATGATATAAACTATGAACTTTCCAATCTGGAACTATCTGCTCGCAAAATTCAAAAAAGTATTAAAGAAAGTAAGTAAGATACTCTTTTTATAGACGTGGCCATAGTTTTCACTTTCATATAATGTTAAATATAGGCCTAATGTCTACATAAATTCATACCTAAAACTAAATCCTGTGCCTTATGATCTCGAAAGTGGAAATAGTACATATTGTAGAGGATCCCAGTTACTGTAATTGAAGTTGCTTTCTAATATTTATCTTGCACTGTCGCCTCACCAAAATAAGTTCTTTGATGTGTTAAATAAAAGTTTTGATTCACACCATAGCCGAACGCTTCTGCACTCAGCCACATCTAATTGTTGGTAGACTACAATTATATGTTTAGAACCAGCACTGTGCAAGTAGGACAGAATTATGTAAGGCACTTTCTTATCACTGCACGACTAATAAACTCCTTAAGTGCACGATATAAATCAAACGCATGTTTGAAACTATCTGGAAATAGTGTAGGTTATTCTGTCCTTCCTATATAGTTTTCATTTCACCCTGAGTTATTGTTATTTAACCAAGATTCCTTAATGCAAAGTACATCTGAAAAACATTTGAAACTAAAGTTTGTTGTCGTTTATATAAATTATTTTATTGTTGGAAACGGGTACGTCTGATCAAGTTCAACTGCACTTTTCATTTTGTCTTTCAGTTATTGCTTATGCTTTTTCAATAAATACTTCAGGAAACCACGATGCACTTTATTATTAAATAACATTCAGGTCTATCCATAACATCTGAAATTTAAACTGTTGCAATCGTTTGATAGTAAACAGATAGACCACTAAAGGTTTACTTGTTAGTGTAGTAGTTTAATTTATGTGGTTCAGCTGCATCCGGTTAACTTGCTCTTAAAGCAGTTTTTCCTCATCGCTTTCCTATCTAGTTTAACTTTGTAGGTTGACAAGAAACAAGTATATTTTGATTGTCTGTTGTCATTCGCTGAAAATCATGTTTCAAATGTAGACTAAAAGGTTTTAAATACTCTAATGGTTTCTCTTCAAGGCTTATTTTCTGCTCAGGTTTTTGTTTTTGCAGTAGTTAGCGTGTTTCTAGATTTTTAAACTTTGGCATGTACCCTATCCTTTACCTAGGAATTTTCATGCGGTTTTTTTAAACTTTAAGCTAACTCTTTTGTAGAGATGTTTCATCAGATTTACGAATTTTTTTCGTACATTAGTGTCTGAAAATAATGAAAACGTCAAGAGACTATTGAAAAAGTGGCTCCATACCGTTGAATTAAAGGATAATCTCTTCAAAAAGGAATCAGAGTTACTTCAAAGGTATTTCCTTTATTGAATGTTGCTGTCTAATTTTTGCGCTTATATTTCATGATAAATTTTCATATTTGCATGTAAATAGATTGTTGGAGAAGTGCATTTGAGTACCACAAAATGCCTCACAAAAAGGAATAACCAGTCCCTGAAAGAAATGTAAGAAGTAAAAGTGATATCATCTTCATAATCATAACGATCAAAGAAAGCAGTATGAGTAGAATCAATATCGCTTACAACAAATGGTAGCTGTGGTCACTCATCCACGTGGTTTTTGCTATTTTTTAAGGCAGTGTAATTTACCGACAGATACTCAGCAGAAATTTTATTTATTACACGCCAACATATAATAAACTGACAACCTTTTGTTTGCTGCAATCAGTCTTAGCGTTAACTTACTTTAATTATGCTTCTGTACATACTTAAGGATCTCAATAATATTTAAGTGGTTTTGATGTCAACTGCTGCTGTCATTATGTAAACAGGAATGATCGAACGCTTATTACTATCAAAAATCTCAGTTTGCGTAGGTGGCTTTAGACGTACATAACAAAAGTGCTTGCACAACAGCGTTGTAAACCTCACTTTCTACAGGCAGGCTGCTATTTTAATGACATCTAAAGTGACCCACTATGGCATATACTATACTGTTTCCCTCTGTGCTTATATTACTTTCCTCTGCTCCACCAGTTTCGGCACCTGTGCAATAACACAAACACCTAAATTTCTCGACTAGTTCTAAAACTTCACTGTTATCAGTAAATCCAAAAGAAGGCAATACTAGTCCTTCGGAGGTACTTTATATTTCATGTGTTGTGTAGTATGTACAAAAAGTAACAATGGACTTCAGTCATCATATATAAACTAAATTCTCATACAACATGTATAATAAGGATAGTATTTTGTACGACCTTCGAATCCCTTAGCGGTTTTATAAGAAATTGAGAAATGAATACACTTAGTGTTCTACATTTCTGTCGAATTTTTCAGGATATTAATTTTAAAAGATAGTATTTATGCTAAACTTTGGCAGTGTCTGTAGCAATCGTCACTGTAAATTCTTTATATATGCCTTCCATCAATACTGTATTCCCCCTGAATTTCGTCTTATTGTCTTTTACAACATGAAGTTAAAGAACATAACTTGTGATAACTGATATTTGAATTAGGGAGATGTCATTCATATATGTTTAATTATTTTGGCTAATTGTGTTATAATGTTAAGCATTATATAGGCATTTCATCTGATCAGTGATATTGTATACAAAAGTGTCTAGTGAAGAAGAATTAAAGCTATTTACAAAATATTCTGAGAGCTATATTTTGTTATCTACTACTTGAATGACATTTTTAAAGTCGTTTTATCTATTTGTTTTATTGTAACTCTATAACAAAGTGCAAGTTTATTCACTACACTGACAGCGACACATTTTGTACGGTAGCAGAGTGATATAACTCCGAAACTGAAATAGATAGAACATACTTTTAAATTGCAACCTAGTTGTTGAAAACTGAGTTCTTTAGCCATTAAATGGTCACTCCATATCCAGTTTAGATACACAACTTTTAATCAGTTAGCCCTCTGTTTGAAACTTGGCTTATCTATCCAAGTTTGTGTAACATTCATTTATACTTTTTCCAACATATTCTGTTTGATCAAGGGACTAATAACCTAATGCACTTGAAACGGCTTTTATTCATTTGATTTCAAACAGCAGACCTACTGTTTTGATATACGATTGTTGTCTATTTGATTCTGAATTTAAAACTTGTATAGCATAAGGGAAATGTACATATATGTTTCCGGTAATTTATCCACCATTTTCTCATTCAGTTGAACTTTGGTCAGTAATCGTCAACTTTTTTGTTTAATATTTATATATAAAGCTCAACGTATCTCTAACTTTAATTTATGTCGACAGGCTTCGTTGTCAAGAGCTAGAGGATCGTCATGCTGATTTAGAATATGAACTACGAACGCTAATGGCCAAACAAGGTGGGAATCTTTATATTAGAAAAGTATCCTGTACTGCATGCCTAATCAAATCCCTTTTACTGTTATCACATTTCGGTGATAGAGATCTTATAACAATTTTAGCTCCATGTTTGGAAAATTAAGTGTACGTAAATTGGTATTTGTATTTATAGTTTATTAGATTTTACATGTATCTTATTGTGTTTTTTTAGATATTCTAATGTTTGGTTAGATCTTCCTGCCCTATTATTTAACATGGTTTTCAGCTTTTTTGTTCATAGTGTGAGTCTTAACGATAGGATCTTTTAAATGCTGCTTGAATTAAAAAGTAGAACCCTCGTCAATGTAATAGTCTGCAATTATGTAGAAACGCATAGCGTAAAGTCGAAATCATTTACATAGGTTACCATTTCTTTTCGAAAAACAGTTTATTTCATTCACTACTAAACTACTGATCGAACTCTTACTAACCACATATTGTAACTTACATAGGGTAATTATCATTTTGCAGTCTTCAGTTATAACTAATTTTATGTCTAATCTTCAATTTTATTTTGAACATATTTTAGTATTGTGTCACTTGTAATAACTGTTTAAGCAACTCAAGAATAATTGAACCAGGATAGTATGAATTGAATTAATCATGTGGTTCCTTGTCAATTTTAATCAATACCTGTTAAATTCCAAGATAACATAATATTATCTAATTACAACAAGTGTATGAGATACTTTAAGTGAAAAATAATGTTTGTAAGTTTATTTATAAACGGAATGACTAGGTGAATATTCTATAAAATACTAAGGAGGGACGATACATGAGTTATTTAGAATAATAAAATCGGCAACATAAGTTACGTGTTGGTTATTAATTTGTATTCTGAAACTACCACCCAAATTCAAAACAAAAGTATTAGATTCTGTAATTTTCTCACGGTTCTGGTTTCTTCATTGTTGTAATATTGAGTATTATTCCAAAATTAATGATAAATAAACTGCTAATGAAGTATACTTTTATTATAACGCGCGTATCGATTTCATTGTTTTCAACCTCATTTTCGGTCTTGTTATATGTGTAGTGATTTTATATTGTACAGTCAAAGGAGAATGTAGTAAAGAACCTATGAGTTAGTTGTTGGATAACTAGACTTTCAATCACCAGGTGGTTGAAAGTTTGAATCCAGTTCCATATAATTTAGTTTGACCGACTGATCCGTATCACTAGCCCTTACATAAATAATATTCCTCAGATCCAAGTACATAAACCTATACTTAATAATGGAATAGACAATTGTGACTATCTGTTAAGTTTGTGAATCTTCATTTGAACAGATAATTAAGATATGTTGTGTATGTTTAGTCACTGTTCTCTGCAATATGCAATAATAAGATGAAAAGAACAGCATAATTCTGCTAATCATAAGTATGAGATAAAGTCGTAACAATTGAATTTTTTTACAACCACAAAACCAACAGTTTCGTATTCTAGGTAATATAGTTAAGCATCAAACCCTTTTGTGCATATGTTTTTAAATATTGAAATCTATACTTTTATAGTTCTTTCCGTACTTTCAATTTTTTCTCTTGTATCATTTAAAAGTATCATCCTTTAAAACAATTCATTTTTTAAGAGATAATTCTCGTCACGAAATGATTTCAACTACAGAACAATTGAATATTAGAAAGTGGTAAACAAGTGTATACTTCTAGTTTCGTTGAATTCCTTTATTATATAATCATTATATTGGTAATGTTTTCATTTATTTGGTCATTTTTTATGTTTCTGGTTCAACGAAGTAAGATGAAGTCTGTTTTTTTCTTGTCAAGATAAAATTGATTACTACCTAATCTATAAATCATATACAATTAACTTTCCAGATAGAAAGGATATCAAACAATGAATAAATATAATCAGTCTTAAGATAAGAATGAGAAAATTGTTTTACTCAAAATAGCAAATCTACATTTATTAATTGTTTTCACTACTCCATTTGCTTGCGCACAATACTAACAAATTTATAGACAAAATAATAGTATTAATTATCAGATTTTTGTGAAGCACATTATTTTTACAGTAAAATAAAGTAACAATTCTAAGTAAACACTACCAAACTAGTATGAGTTTTCTGTTATAAATAACTCATTGGAATAAAAATTATATATATATATATATATATATATATATATATATATATATAAGTAGATTGAAATTAAAAAACTGAAGGTGTTCTCATGTCAGTCAGTCAGTCAGTAACAACGTAGAACTTCGTACGTACGTATATCAGTTTGAGTTGCCACACCACATTAGCACAGAGATGCAGTTGTCGATTCAAATCCCATAGTGGTAGAGGTAATAAGAGTATAAGCAGCAATCGGGAAGATTAGGGTTTGGATATGTTATTTAAAGAGTATAATCCAGTGAAATAAATTTGGAAAGAGGAAAAAAGGGACATGAAGAATTCACAAGATTAGAATTTGGGAGAACACAGAGAGTGGATGCACCTGGGCCATTGCAAACGATTTTGCACCATGTCATTCAGGGTCTCTAACCATCGGTTGCTATCATCTCGCGGTCCCCAACCAGGTAGTCTACACCTACCAACATGACTCAGTCCACTTGTCAGTGACTTCATGGACTTAAGCCATGTTTTGGTTTGGCCGCCCCTAGCTTTCTTCCAACCTACTCCTATACCACTGAACATAGCACGTCGAGGTAGTCGGTCGTTGGGCATACGTAACACGTGTCCCAGCCATATCAACTGATGAAGTTTCACTACTTCATCAATCGATTTGCCATCCTTACCTAGTACCCGTTTCCTAACAACTGTGTTACTTACTCGATGGTCCCAGGATATACGAGCAATGTTTCGAAGACACCTATGATCGAATACTAGTAACCTACGGATATCCTCTACTCTTACCGGCCATGTTTCACTGCCATAAAGTAGGACGGAACGAACTGCTGCGCAGTAAACCCGTCCTTTGGTTGATAGACGGATATCTCGCCTACGCCATAAATGACGCAAGTTGGCAAAAGCTAGTCGAGCCTTCTGTATCCGTGCTGAGGTTTCGTCACATACCAAACCACAAGGGCTGATGAGACTTCCAAGATAAGTGAAGCGGTCGACACACTCAACTACTTCACTCCCTATCATTAGTTCGGGTGTCGATGTAACCCAATCCTGAAGCAACATTTTGCATTTCGAGGGAGAGAATCGCATCCCGAACATGCTTGCATTGTTGCTTAGAATGGTCAGAAGACTCTGCATTTTGTCAGCGTCTTCACCAAATAAAACTATGTCATCTGCATATTCTAAGTCAACAAGTGAACCTCCCGGTGTTCTCATGAATTAAACATGCTTCATTGGGTATTGGTTCAAATATCATAAAATAAAGCAAATAATTCAATCAGTCAGGTAAGACTGGTTGTGTATTATATCACATAGTAGTATCTGAAATTTGTAATATTCATTTTACTAAGAGATATCAAAAATATATTTGGTAAATAAAGAAGGAACGAATTGAGCGAAGAAATTTCTTTTCAATTAGTTTTTCATTAGAGCCATGATGAAAAACTAATTGAAAAGAAATTTCTTCGCTCAATTCGTTCCTTCTTTATTTACCAAATGGCAAAATGGGAATTTTCACTATATTAAAAATATTTTTTTTCTCCTCACTTATAGTTCAGGTTCATATCTTTAAAGATCCATAAATAAAACTAATGGTTATATTAATTGTGATCTGAAAGTTTTTAATGATTACTTGTATTTCAGTGAGCTAATTTCTAAATATTAAACTATTATGTTTCTGTTTCAAGCTTTCATTCACTTGATATACAGTCCTGACAGCTTGACAGAATTATCAAGTTTCAAGACCTTGTCCACAAACTTGTACATAGTTGAAATGTAGCGTTTACAAAAATCTAAATACTATTTATTTAACTCTATATCTTTGTAATGGATTGTATACATAAAATGAAGTGAATAATCAGTAAAGCATTTTATAACTAAAGCTAACTAATATTATATTATACTTACTTTCAAGAAGCAGCTTATAATAGGTTACGAAACGTGAGAAATTTAATTCTCTACTCACTGGGATATTACAAATAAATCAGAATTTTCAGTGTTAGAAATCGCTAAGTTCATAAACACATAATTTATAGGTGTGCATAAAAATATTCAGAATTTTTTCTGAAATAAAATTTGCATGCTATGTGATAATAATAGGCTCATTAGATTCGCATAAGCTTGCACCTGATACATACAAATTTTAGTGTTATTCGTAAGAAGGTAATGAAAACGAATTGTGACTTTATGTTTCATTATAATACACCTTTATTGTATACTTTTTGTGTAGACATTCTAAAGACTAAAGAAGAAAAAGCTCGTGAAGAAGAACTAATTGCTGACTTATTGTGTGTGGTTGACAAAAGAGCTGAACTTTCAGAATCCACTGGGGATTTCAAACCAAAGTATGTCTTTGTTTATTATAATAAGAAAAGCTCTAAATGAATATTAATGATTTATTGTAGTAATCAGTCGTCATTTTGTCTGAACTTTAACGGCTAAATCCAGGAAATTAGAACACAATGTGATCAATGGACTGGGTGAATCTACATTGTAATGCACTGTGTATGGTATCAGGTTGTTAGAGATACTTAGAAAATCCTGGATGTAAACTTCATATTGTTCTGTAGTAATTTTTAATCGCAATGTCGATTTTACCTGTCTATCGGCCATATTTGAATATGATCGACATGACTTAATTAGTACTAAGAAATAAGCGTCCAGTAGGCCGCCGATAAGTTGAGTACTTCAGTGGCAACGTTTCTGATCACAAAATCTAGTGTTGCAGGTCCTAATTCCCATAGGGAAAACAATCTTCCAAGTTTTGCTATACTTACGTTAATGACAGCTCAAAAACCATTGTAAACTATTTCGTGTTTAACACATTCAGTGATTTATTTTATACTCTTCAAGTCCTTTCATACTTGTTGACACCTATCAGAAAGTATATCTGCAACCACGTGTTCATTCCAAAATCTTAAAATATGTTTTAAAAGACGAATTTAAGAACTTCACAGATAACGTACTCGCGTTAGACAATCCTTAGGTTACTACCCAACAGACAGTTTCTGTATGTTGCGAGCACATTCATTCGTACACGATTTTGGAAGTGGGTGGCGATTCGAATATGTTTCACATCGTAAACCAACTACTCATTTTAATAGCTGAAAAATTCCCATTATATTAAAGCACGACTATATGAACGAAGAATATTTTCTTCAATAATTTCTCATCAGGTTCTACAATTATATAGCTAAATTATTAATCCATAAAATTGGCTAGGTTTAAGGCAGAGTACATCATTTAAAGTTATAGCATGATGTACTCTGCCTTAAACCTGGCCAATTTTACGGGTTAGTAATTTGGATATATAATTGTAGAAAAGAATATTCTTAGTTCATATAATTTTATTTATTTCAAACGGTCTTCAAATAGAATACCTAAGCCAAATTATTTTTTTAAACTTGATATTCTACTTATGATCCAATATTATCATATAATTGGTACTAACTGATCAATAAAAAATCAAGTAGTTTGACATTTTCAACCTAATGCTTAGTATTTGCAGTAACATTTGTTAGTGTATACGTTTTGTTTTTTGTAGGCATCGAGCAAGATCATCTAGCCGAAGAACCCTCGAAAGTAAATTCAAACGTAAGTTTCTGTCATTAATAAATTCAGTCCATCAAAGTATTTTTCAAACTCATGGTGTTAGTCACAGTTAATGTAGGGGAATTTTTGATAGTTATAAATACCTTTAGATGGTTGATACTACGATCTAGATTCCATTATCTTCAAATATCGGAAAAAGTTATAATCTACAACTCCTATGAAGAAAAGTTACGTAGAATATATCTTACCAAGAAAAAGGGAAATCCAGGATTAGGATTGTATTTGCACAAACAAAAAGATATTACACATTGGCTTGATATCTAAGCTCCTATATGCTGTTAAACTGTCATCATTAACAAGATTGGTTATTTCTTCATCTATGAATGGCTTATAAAAAAACTAATTTACCAGATAAAAAAGACAATTCATTATTAGCTTTAAGAACATCACAGATTTTTATAGATAAAATATTATATTTACAATTATAAGTTAGGCTCGAATGAAAAGAGACAGTATGAGTATTATTTTCGTAACCGTCCTGTTTTTGTAGTTGAGGGAGTTACCATCACCGATCATCCGAGTTCTAGACCTTAATTCTTCATACCCTATTACGTTTGATTATACTTCGTACTCAAACCTAAATTTGTTGATTCCAGTTTCATCAATCTGCATTCAACTTGTTTAATATAGGACTTCAACAAAAAAATGTCACGTCACAATATAGCTCATATCCGTCTGAGAATGATTACTGTTGAAACAAATTAGTTAGGGTCGAGAAGTTCAAAAAGGAAAAGTCGGTCAGTTATGTGCATTGTAGAACCTGTCATATGTGCACCAGTTCAAGTTACCACATCATATTGGCACAGCTATATGAAACTATTAAGACAAATGCTATAGATGTAGTGGCGGTGTGAAAAATTAGGCCTTCAAAGTATGATTAGAAAAAAAATAATGAATTTTTAGGATGAAAAGTACAAGTAATCTTAAATAAGAGGTATTTGGAGAAAACCTATATGTGCCATGTGAGTGATTCTTCGTTATATCACTTAACGTCTCCAACCCAGTAGTCCATAACTAGCTTATAAGGCTCGATTTAACTGTCAGTGACTGGACTGATGCTACGTCTTAGTTAGACTGCCTTTAGCATTCTTCCAACTTCTACACCACCAGACATCGAGGGTTAAGGTATGCGAAGTTAGGGTATACATCAAGCACGGCCCGACTACTTCAGTCGACAAATATCCACTATTTCATCAACTGATTCTCCATTCTTACCCAGTGCCATGTGTCTAACCTCAAAAGTGCTTACTCGATGACCTCGGCAAGGATTCGAAAAGATCTGTGGTCTGATATTAGTAACCTCCGAATATCCTCTATCTCTAAGGGTTGCTTCACAGCCCTATAGTAAAATAGAGTGAACTGCTGAACATTAGAATTGTTCTATGGTTGTTAGGTAAATAGATATCTCGTCAACACCACAAGTTGGCAAAAACCAATAGAGCTCTTGTCGGACACTAAAACACCAGGACTGATGAGGCTTGCAAATGGCGTGATAGAGGGGCTCAACTACTTTACACCTTATCACTAGTTTAGACTTTGAAGCAAACTGATCCTGAAGCAACATTTTGCATTTAGAAAAACAAAAACGCATCCGAAACATTAATTGACAAGTTCTTCATATTCCATACAGAAATTACCTATTGGATAGAAATCCTAACTTATTAGTCATAATTGTCTGCCTCATTTGTATATATTTGATTATTAATTTTGACTAGTTTTTTTAAATGTTTATTTCTTGTGGCTATTTATAATCTAGAAATATGCCTTAGTTTGCGACATCCTAGTCTGTCACAAACGAATTTATCAACCATTCGGGATAAATCATTGAAAAAAGTACGGAAGTTGAGAGCTTCTACCATATCTCGATTGAAAAACAAGACATTTTTTCGATAGAAATTGCTAACTTTATAAAAACTATATATTCGTATAGACCCAGCTCCGCATCAAATGGACTATCATCGCATTAATAGTATTATCATGCATGGACTTTTATGCATCCGGTATACTCTGAGCTGTTTTTACAAACAATTTTTATCTGTTTACTTTTATTTGTTATCAAATTGTTTTTCTTTATTTCGAAAATAGATACTGCAAACAGCATCTGACACGTCTTATGTTGTGTAATATATATTAACAATACAAATAAGTGTATAGCTAAAGCGACGAAAAAATTAATTAAAAAAGTATAAACCACAAAATTACAGTTAACTATAGGTAACAATTTATTTCCATCTTTTTTTTGTTTTGAAAGGCAAATAATGTTTGACAGTATTACAAAGACTAGTGCCGTAATTATAGTAGAGATGTGTGCTAGATTTTAACATTATTTTATAATGAGATTCTGAGATTGTTACTATTCAAAAGATAGGTAGCTATATATGCACACAATTATATATTGCACAATTTTCGAATCACATTTACGAAATGATTGTGGATAATGATAATAATAAAAATTACAATATTAAGATGATACGTCGTTTGTTAACGGTGCTGCTTGTTGCATTTCTTGAGTTATAACAACTGATCCTCTATCGGTCGTTGATTGTGGATTAAAAGAATCAATAGACGGGATACAGCCAGTATCTGTATTTTGATTGGCAGATGAAGTTGACACGGTTGGTATGCCAACTAAAGGAAAATGTATGCCATGACAGCAGGTAATGGGAGCACCGCGAATATGCCTATTTGAACATGGCAAAATTGATTTTAAACATGTATTAGTATTTCCCGCAACTGACGTGTTACTTGTACTCACCGAGGTTGTGGTGGGGGTAGGCAACGATTGATTTGCTGCATTAGTTTGTGCTTCTGTAATAAAAAAAATACATATTTGAGATTGCTTCATGTAGCATAAATTAAGTTAAATGCATAATTATTAATAAAATCAAATAGCTTACGTGCCGTTGCAGAAAAATCAGAAGTACGCGGATCTGTAGTGGTGGGTGAAGAAATCTCTGCAACCACTTGTGTATTCAATGAATCTTGTTTGTCTAATTTGCTTTGATTTGCTGATATATCAGTAACTTCGAATGAACCTGTCGAAACTGTAGGAGTTAACCATGGAAATTCGACACAGGGTGGTAATAAGGAACCATCTATAGAAGCTAAACATCGACAAGGTTGTCTGCTCCGCCAACGGCAGTCATAAGCAATTAGTTCTTCAGTTGACCGACCATCATTAGGGATACCAAATCTAGCTTGCAGGAATCCTGGCCAAGGAATGTTATGCTACATAAAAAAAAGGAAATTTTATAGATGGGTCATACAAGAAAATTTTCAATTTAATATTTATTCCTAAACTTCAGTGTAAAAAGGCATACAAAATGTGTAAGCCATTTAATAGAGCTTTCATAACATTCTTATACTGTGTATCATATCGAGTCATTAAGTTAAACGATCATTGATACTCCAAAAAAGGCTAAGAGAGTTATTCGAAGGACATTTATAGCACTATGCAAAAAGTAATATTAAAACCGAATGATATCTATTCTAAAAAGATAATTTGATCACCCCTGAATGCTCGTATAAACAGTTGGACGAATTCTATATTGATTAACATAGCATTATGATAGATATAACAATTAGTTGTAAACTAATATAATTTAATCACCACATATTACTAACGATTGAGTGAGTGATATGAATTAATAATTAAAATTACTTACTTGTAAATGTAAGTCTAGGAGAATTTCAGGAGTGATTTTAGCTTCATTTGCAAGAAACTCACGGCAATGATAGCAGGGAGAGATTAAATAAGCTGGTAAATGAATTTGATGTAGATAATCATGCGTATCACATAAAGCACAATATGAATTACGAGGAGCAAGTGAACTGACATCCAGAAAAAGTGCACTGTTCGGATCATTTTTAACTTTTTGTTGTTTCCCTGGATCTTGATTCTCTTTTGTCCCATCTATATCAGATAAACCAACTGATACAGGACATGGAGTTGGGGCTGTGATTAATTAATGAAAAATAAACTGTTACATTTTTCAATTCCGTAACAATGCTGTAATGAAATAGGTGTCATAACTTTACTGATGTATACAAAGAGTACATACCATTTAAAATATATTTAATTAAGTAAAATTAATGAAAACCCGTGTAGTTGTTTGTAAGCAGTCAGCTGGTAGGTTTTGTGTAAACCAATTATTGCTGTACTGTTACAGAAAAAAGGTGATTTATGTATCATTACCGACTTAACTTACTTTACATATTTGAATATAACAACGCTACAACACCTCTAGTTATTAATATTTCAAACAGCTAGTTGACTAAACCAAGACGTGAAACTCTCCATAGTTTGATATTTTAGCTCATCTAATGAGGGTGGGGGGAAATCAGCTTTCTGATTTGTGCTAATCAGTAACGCCTGAACACAAAATCATCTGCAAGTATTTTAGCTATTATTAGATGATTTGAGGATAACTTGTTTTACAACAATTTGTGCAATATTTGCATCAAATTTAACTAATGTTACTAACCAGAAATATATGGTCACAGTTTTGGAAAAGTACATCACCCATTAATACATATGTATTATTAATTCAACTCAATAATTATTACCCAATTTTATGATCTAGGCTATAAGATTTATACGTGTGAATACCAACGATAACGTTGGTTTTAAATCTGTGACTAAATTTCTATGTAGGTCACTTGAAAAATATTTTATGTGCGTTCTTGACCACTATTATTTACAAAGTCATTATCAGTAAGCAAATACATATGATCAATGAAATTTATTGAATTATAATAGTTCTGTGTACGGATAAATGTCGCTGAAGAATTATTGAGTAAGCATTATCATTAAAATTTCGTAAGACACAATTCTGAGATATAGTAATCGACTTTTGAATAAAAGTAATTGAACCATATTTGCACCAATGGTGTAATACATGACAGACAAAGTAGACAGAACAATAAACTATTCAAATTCAAATGTATTGAACTAAGAGCTACATGTATTATAAGCGGATAACTGATATATTCTATTTGTTAAGATCAATTACCAAATGGTTGAGTGACAAGTGTATACACTACTGATTAAATATGATTTATGCTAATTATCAAGTAAATGATCACAACGTTCTAAGTGTTTACACACATCACTGAATAATCGGTACATAAACGTCGATATTTTGGTGACCAATGCATATAGGAGGAATATACTCGAAAATGAATGAGGTTAATAATTAATAAAACATTTTATTTATAATCAATTTACTGTAATCGATTGAAATAATTAAAAATTTATTTAAAGAAAGTTTAATTAAGTCATTTGACGAAATACGAGAAAAGTATAAATTAAACATACGATCTTGCGTTTGATCTGCACGTTGATGCAATTGAACCTGTGTAATATGCTCAGCACAGGCTTGTACTTCATTTGAAATTGGTACATGATTTTGGTAATCTATCGATCGAATGTCACCTAAATTCTATGTAAATAAAATACAAATAGAAAATATTGAGACAAAAAAGTCTGTAGACGATAGAATGATAAGAAGAGAAATTTGATTTACAATAAGAAGAGGTATACATCATATACAAAGCTAGAGATAATGGATTATTCAAACTATGCATTTTAGCAAAAAGAATTTAATATAGACATAATTAGAATAATTTTGGATGAAATGACTTTTAATTAATTAATCATGTTGAAAAAGCATTCAAACAAAAAATTTAAACTTTGGATTCAACTTAACAAATATTATAATTTTCTAAAAATTACCTGAAATCCAATTCACTGGTAGTGTATAAACTATTTCTTAGTATTTTGCTATCTATCCTGGTAGAATATTGTTTCTTTTAAGGAATTGAATGCATAAGATTATATACAAGTATTTAAAATTCACTGTCAAGAATAGTAGTAGTGATGTTAACAATGAAGAACTATATATTAAAAACTTTATTGTCATCTTTTTGCCATTTACATGCATGTGAACAACATAAATCAAAATAAATGTACCCATATCTGCCGCCAACAAAACTTTTTATCATAAATTTTAGTGGTAACACTAAAATTTCAAACTACCTGATTGGGATCCCCGTGATTATCATAACCAATAATGGTTGGAGACGTTGAATGATATGGCACATAATTGGCCACAATCGAACAGATTTATGCACTCTTTGTCCTTCTTTAGATCTTGAGTTTAAAAGTTATTTGATAATTTTTATTTTGCGGATTCGTTCTTTTTTTTAGAATCATATTGTTTTTGACCAATCTTTTCTGCTGATACTGATTCTCTTACTACTTCTACTATTATAATGCTTGTCTTGATAACTTCATCTTTCTGTGCTGATTTCGTGTACTAGCTTGGACTGATGCACATATATGTATCAAGTTCTATGTTGTTCATGACTAACTGGACACTTTATCAGTTGTTTAGGAGAAATGATCCTCCCTGATAATTACAGTGACAAGATTATGGTGTACATCATTTTCATAAAAAGTAAAAAATGTACGCTAACCGTAAATTCAAAACACTTTATTCACTTAATACAATCTGTATGAAATAACTTATCTAACAAATGTATTTTTTCATTTACTGACTATTAACCTGAGTACAAAAATGTATGTTTGAAGTTTTTGTTACTTATATAAGTAATTAATTATGTCATAATCAATAAGAAAGTAAACTGTAAGAAGTTTCAGTTGTCTACTGTTTCACTTTTATTAAAATGCCATGATTCGTAAGAAAGTTAACTGAAAAATAACAAACATACTTGATCATGATTACTCGAGACTGTATGTCCATTTTCATTATTTGGTATAGCTGAAGATGAATGTATTGAACTTTTAGCTAACCCTGAATCTCTAGATGTTAAACGTTCTTTTGCTTGTTGATGAAGGTGAAGCGCAACAAGTTTTTCGTGCAGTTCAAGCG